ACGTTGCTGACTGGTCCCGGCTAACAAATAGTTTTTGGTCACATTTTTCTAGGTTGTATAGCCCTGGTATGTCTGCTTGCTGTACAGTGGTAACTTGTGGTTTCTGTAAAGCTGAACACTGTGACACTGATGTGTCAAATGTGATAATGGTTCCCCATGGTGGATAGTGTTTGGTGGAGCTCCTGATTAAAACAAGCTTGGAAGCAGGAATGACATCCACTTCTGAAATAGCTTGCCTCTGGAAACCCTATGAACCTGGAGAAAGGATGAAAGTTATCCAAGTGTTCAGGTCTTTTATTCACAGGGTCACTAACAGTCGCCTATGATTCTATGGCACTTAACAACAACAGACCATTATTGTAAAAATAGTAGAGCATGTACAGGAGTCCAAGGGGAAAGAGGGAAAGGGTGGGAGCAGAGGGTTGAGGGTGGGTAGGGGGAATCTCACAAGATTGCACAACTTGGTTGCTGGAGGGAGCGGGTAAAGGAAGTTGGAAAGATCCAGTTGGGACCTGAAAAGATAGGGTAATGATGGGCATAGTTCTAGTGATTAATTTTAGAAAATAAAAGGTATGAGAATGATTGCATGAAATATAATGTCAGTGAAGGAAAATGTGGACTGGAATGCATGCAAATTTTCTAAAAAAATTAAAAATGGAAAGCTAGATTACGTTCAAATTCAAGCCCACAAGGAAGCTTAATTCAAAACAAGTCATTGGTGTGTGAGTTGATGAGATGGAGTACTGCATTTATTGTTCTAATTGCCCCATCATGATTCCTTTCTATGTAAGGTCTAGGGAGTCCCTGTGTCCCAAAGGGCAACCAAAGGAGCTTTCTGATTCATGTTTGGCTGCTTCCTCCTGGCTCTACTGCAGGAACACTTTGGATTCACAAGCTTAGGTCCTCCTCCCCAAACCTCTCCTTTCTCAACAGCCAAATTCTCAGCTCACAGCCTTTCTGGACTCACTCAACTCACTGCCATCAAGTCGGAACCCACTCATAGATGAATCTCATAGATTCTTAAGGCTGTAAATTGTATAGGAGAAGAGTGCCTACCTTTCCCCAGAGGAGCAGCTCGCAGATTTGAAGCTCAAGAGGCATAGCCTTTGCTTTAGCTGCACAATCCCTATGACTAGGACGCCCTAGATCTCTTCCTGTATGTATGGTTTGCAATTTCCTGATCTGGGTCCCTCTGTTCTTTCCCCCGCAAATTTCAGTAGGACTGGCTTGGTGTGTTACAATGATATTTTTTTTATTTGGATAGTGAACTGAGCTGCATCTCTAGCAGTTGGAATCACCCACCCGTACTTCTACAGGAGAAAGTTGGGCAGTCTCCACTCTTTGTAATTTAAAGCCTGCAAACCAGCACTGAGAGTGATTGAGCTACATTTAAATGCTTATTTATGGATTTTAAGTGTAGTGTGGTGGGATCCCCTCTGCAAGCTTGGGGGGAGGGGGAATGAGACCTGGAGAGATCGAAGAAAGTACAATCCTACTTTTCATAGAAGGTAAGACTGTAGTCAGTGTCATTTTTTTAAAGTAGAAATTAAGCTACAATTGTTAGATATTTTAAAAGTGTTCTTAAAAACACGACGCGGCCACACAAGCGGGTTCAAAAGGTCTGAGGTGCTGTGGTCTCAGGGAACAGGACTCTGAGCCCCCTCACATGAAGCTCACAGCAGCACAAATGCCCGGGGTTGGGCAGGGATCCCGTGTTCCTTGTGGAAGAGGTCCCCAAATTGCCATCGGCAGGAGTTAGGGGACGGTTTTTTCAGAGTTTTCTGCTTCCAAGCCCTTGTCACTGGAATTGAAATGCAACCACTTCTAGTTCCCGGCTTACAGCTTCAATTCTACAGGGCCCTGAACGAGGCTTTTGTCTGCTTGCTTAGATTTCCGCGATGAGTCTCCCTCCAGGACCTCTAGAGGAGCCCAGTCTACTACACAGTCATGTTTTGTTTGTACACAAATGTTGTTGTTGTTTTTGTCATGTGCCGTCCAGTCGCTTGCGACTCATAGCAACCCTATGTACAAAAGCCCTAAACCCTGCTCTATCCTGTGCCAATCGCACTGCCTCTAACACACCCATCCCGATTACCCCAGTCACTGAATCAATCCACCTCATAGCTTCCCCAAAATGTCTCATCAAAACCCGAAATGACGCGAGTGATGAACGTGGAGGTGACTGTCGACTGATAAGGAACGCTGTGACCCAGGTGTTCTGTAGTCCAAAATTTCCCCAGCAGGCTTGGAGGTGAACAGCATGATTCAATAACAGTCTTGGGAGCTATCGCTCCCGGCTCCTGGAGGGCAGACACTTTAAGGGTGCTGCCTCCTTTTTGCTCATACCTTTTGAATCAAGAGTTCACCTTTCTCGGGAAGCCCGAGCCAGTTTCCGGAGCTGGTTAAGGGTGGTAGCGGTGGGGAGTAGTGGGGAAGAGGCTCTCCTTTTCTTCTTCTCCCTTGAAGACCCTGCCTCCAGCAGTACGCAGCAAGTCTGGAATCCGCAAGCGCGACTTTGGCTCCAGGCTCCCGCGCACCTGGGAGTAATACACTGAGCCTAGACGAGCAAATCTGCAATGCTAAAACCCGCCAAGCAAACGCGCAAAACCCGCCACTCTACCTCTCTGCGCTGAAGGTGGACTGCGTCGCCGTCCCTAGATCTTATCTTGGAGGGAACAAAAAGACGTCTCGGGGATGTGAGGAAGAGGTATCTTTATCTTTCCTTTTCTTTTCCTTCCACAGTCCCACCTTTGGGCCCCGCCCGCCGCCTAGCTTGCAGCGAGGGGGCCGACAGGGGGCGGCAGAATGCAGCCTCCTCCACGCGGTCCAGGGCTCCTGCCTAGAACAGTACCAGCACACAGAGCTGCTCTGTAGCCTCGTAAAAGCCCGCAGTAAGTTCTAATTCGGCGCAGTTTCCCCACCAAGGCCATAAGGGACGAAACCACTCTCAGCGTGCAGGCCCAACTTTATTTGCGCCACTCAAAATGTGCGGGGCCACTCTTCACCTGTAGGAGGAAGAAATGGCTTGACTTGCTTTACCCGAGCATAGAAGAGTAGTGTCCAAGGCTGAGGCGTGCCTCCTTGTCTACACCCCCGTAACCTCTTGCGCTCAGGCGCCTGATTTGAAACACTAGCAAAGAAGTCTAGGTCAGAAGCAAGTTCCAAAAAACCAGGAGAGAAATGAAGGCACTTGAATCCACACAGCGTACCGCACCCAGTGTCGGCTCAGTTTCTTTCCCTGTGCCTTCCTACCTCCCTTCCTCTGTGCAGCTCCTACCTCCCTTCCCCTTGTCCTAATACTGACCTAGTGAGTGCAAGATAGGGGTGGGAAGGCCGGGTACTTTGCAGCTGTTTCATTACACTCTTCAGTGTTCCCTTGGCAGTGTCCCAACTCTCACACTTCCTGCCATATTCTAGAGGTTTTGCTAGGGCTCCTAGAGCCAGAGGCTGCGCTACGTTCTCCTTGAAGCTTGAGAGGAGAGTCTTCACCTTTTAAAAATTTGTCTTCCTTTTATCAAGGTGAAATTTTCCCCTCCGTCCTTGCTGCGATCTGGAGAGCCTTTCACGGTTTTTACTGAACTCAGATTTCATGGTTCAGGCCCTTATAACTGACACTTTTGTACAGGATAAGGTTAGGAGACAAAAATGCTTTGAGTCTCCACTGCTGGAGGTAAAGAGGGTCACCGCTCTGACCACCAGGGCTCCTGGACTGCGCTATCTGAGCCTGTGTCGGCTTCCCTGCAAGCAAGGCGGACACTCTCTCTGCAGGTCCTGGGCGCTGGACTACTTGTAGGGCTTTTGTCCTGTTTCCTAAGAAGAGTCCTGGGAACCGAACTGTTGCTAGGTTTCCTCCAAAATCCTCTTTTTCAATCCCTTACCTGGAACTCTCCAGAGCCAGTAGCTGGCTGATCTTTGCATATTCAATTAGTTAATGTGCAAATTCAGGAGCTTGTCCCTTCCATTTGCACTTCCCTGGTTCCTGCAGCATGACTTTCTCCGGGTTGCAGAAACAGACAATTTGGAACTCTGATTGGATTCTGATAATGCGGAATAGAAAAAGTATAGTGGTTAATACCAGAGTCCAAGGTTTCAGGCTGCACAAGTTCCGCTTAAGTGAAGGGGGGAAAGTCGTTCTGTGGTCTGAGAAAGATCTCCTGGAGGTTGATACTCTGGGAGAAGTTCAGTCGGGCTGCAGCGGTGGAGGAGTTCGAGGTTCTGAAATCTGGGCAAAAGGGACAGTCCTTAGGGCCTAGAGCAAGTGTAGTCTCCAGGGAGTTCTAGGGTATGTGGCCCCTTTCTGGTCTGTCCTCTGTCTTTAAAAGACTTGAGTTTGCATGGGCAGCCTTCCTTTGGGAGACAGATATGGAATGTGTTCTTAGTCAAGTAACTACACCTACTTTCTCGAAGAAGTTGATAGCTACTAAACCTTGTAAAGACAATCCTGAGAACCAGCTGGGGGCTCATCAGCAATCAGTTATGATGAGGAGGCTGCCTCACTGCACGTCTTCGCATCACTTTTAATGCTCACCAGTATGCACACACTGAGCTCCAAAAGATAAAAATACACTGACCATAGTGCAGTGAGCCTTAAACCTTAGTAATGGTAGTAGGAGTAATAAAACTAAAACCAAATCTAGTACTAACATGAGGTAATATGAATCGATTTGAAATTAGTTTCCTGTCATTCTCAAAGTACAATGAGGGGAGGAAGGTTCCAGGGGCACAGAGAGAATGAAGGATCCAGTTCCAACTGGGGATATGAAGAGGGTTTGTGTATGCAGAGGGAAAGTTTGGGAGGGGAATAGAGGAAGGCCAAAGTAGGAGAGCGGAGGAGTAGAATTTCTGGGCAGATAGGAGGAGACGCCCCAGGAGCAGTGAGGGAACCAATGAGCTGCCAACTAGCGCCTCTCCTTCGTGACCGCTGAGATTGACGTGGAAGACACGTCAAATTGAGTCTCTCACACCGCAGCTTCCCGGTCAAACGAATTTCTTCCAATCGGATGAAGTTCACTTTGGGTTTGGAGTCTCGAGCGTGGAGAGTGTCCCGGGAGTCGACAGCAGAGGCTGTCTGCGGAGCGAGTGGTGGCGCGTTTAGCAGCAGCGCACAAAACATACCCAACTTGTGTCCAGGCCAACGAAGGTCTGGGTTCGCGGGCGTGCTCCCTCTATGCCTCTCCCGCGTCGGCCGGGCCGGAGCTCTCCTGGACCGTGCTGGGCCCAGCCCCTGCCATCTCCGCACCAGACAGCCGGCTGGCCCGAGTGTCATGGGTAAGGGTATGCCAGCGGGCTGGGCGCGAGCGGTGCATGAAGTGGTTCCTGTCCCTGCGCTCCTTTCCCTTTCCCTTTCGCCTGTTATCCAGCGTGATTAGGTCCCAAGGTCCAGAGGATGCTCTGCCTCCCTGTTTGGACGTCCCTAGCCTTGGAGGTGGGGGTGGAGGGGAAATTCAGCTTAATCTGATAGAAAGTGTCCCAACAGTGGCACCAACGGGCAAGGAGGGCTGGAGAATGCGATGTCCCTCTTAGCGGTCCCCATGACTGGTGTCATTCCCAGAGCTCGGCCCTGGCCATTTGCCCGGGACTCGGAGCCGTCTAGGGATCCTTCAGTGTCCTTGACTCCTTCGGGCAATCCCTCGCGCCGCGTGGGGCCACCCTTGGCTAACTCACTGGCGTCTCCCTCCCACTTCCCCGTCGGGCCCATCGCAGAGCAGGCATACGGCGAGGTGAACCAGTTGGGCGGCGTGTTTGTCAATGGCCGCCCCCTGCCCAATGCCATCCGCTTGCGCATCGTGGAACTGGCGCAGCTGGGCATCCGACCCTGTGACATCAGTCGGCAGCTGCGAGTATCCCATGGCTGCGTGAGCAAGATCCTGGCACGTTACAATGAGACTGGTTCCATCCTACCTGGAGCCATCGGGGGCAGCAAACCCCGCGTCACAACCCCTAATGTGGTTAAGCACATCCGGGACTACAAGCAGGGTGACCCTGGCATCTTTGCCTGGGAGATTCGCGACAGGCTTCTGGCGGACGGCGTCTGTGACAAGTACAACGTACCCTCCGTAAGTTCCATTAGCCGCATTCTGCGAAACAAGATTGGCAGTCTGGCTCAGACTGGGCCTTATGAAGCAAGCAAGCAGCTGCCACCGCAGCCCATGCTGCCTTACAACCACATCTACCAGTACCCCCACCCCAACCCTGTATCACCCACTGGCGCCAAAATGAGCAGCCACCCCGGAGTATTGGGCTCTGCAGACCACGTCAGCATTCCCCGCTCCTGGCCCTCAACGCACTCGGTCAGCAATATCCTGGGCATCCGGACGTTTATGGAGCAAACAGGTCAGTCTTGGCGGCCTCTCTTAGCTTCTAGGAAGGGCAGAAATCGCCATGCTACATGGAGTGTCTGTCACATTCTCCATCCGCCCTTGACCAATTCTGACTGAGGGGAGGACTTAAGACTAGCCAGTGAACCCTCAGACATATATTGAGTTTTCTACGACAAATACAGAAAATATTTCCCTAGTGGAAGAGCTTCTGCCTACCAGAGGTCTGAAATAGCACTTTTTGATTTTTAATTCTTGCAAAAGAGAGTGCAAAACCCTATGGCCAGGTTTAAATCTAACAAACTGCTCCCAGAATTTTATAGCTCTTTATTTGGGCTTCTGGATTTCTCACAGTGCCCCTAAGGTTCCATCCATATACATCCCAGGAACATGCATGATTTTTGAGTATCAGGAAAAGTGTGTGTGTGGCTGGTCTTCCCTAGTGGCTCAGACTTTTAGCAGGCCCAGGGACTGAGTGACATGATAGCCTCAGTGGCATCATTTCATTTAAGGTGAAGACTCCTGTGGCCTGTGATCATCTAAGCACACTGTGGTCATCTCTCATAGTGATGGTGGTAGATTGGAAGGGGGTGATGAAGGGGAAGTTTCAAAGAAATCTGGATATGTGGCCAGAACCAAGATTGTTGTTCTGTCCCCAGCACCAGGACAGAATTCTTGATAGGCCAGAAAATAGAAAGTGTAGCTATAAAGAGGAGTTAGAGTTTTCCTGGGGTCTCAGTCTGCTTTGTTCCCCATCGTGGCTTAAACCCAGCCTGCACTGCTTCTCTGAGTGTGGTGACCCTCCAGGCAGGCAGTCAGATCCCCAATGCTCCTCTTGCATGGGCCTGTGATCATTTACAAATGTAAGGGTGCCACAGTATCTGCTTTCCAGTCTTCTGTGGAGAAAATTCAGATACCAAGGATAGTTTCAGAGAAATCCAGTTACTTGTTGAGGCTGTGAAACTCAGATGCAGTAATGTCTACTTTAAAGACAGCTGCCCCTTAAGGGCAACCCAGCTGATTTAAGGACAATGCTGCTCTTTAACGTTATGCAAATCTATGCCCCAAGCCTAATCACTGGAACATACAGGTTTGACATCACTGAAAAGACTTTGTACCTTTTCTGCACTATAGTTAAGTCTAAATAAGAAAGCAGACACCTGTTTACCTTATGGATCTTCTTAGCTTTAAGTGGCTGCTCATAATCTCTCTATTCTGCTGTGAAGTTTTCACTGGGACTCAGCACCCCCTTTTAGGCAGCACTTTGGCAAGGGTGCCTAGTTTCTGCTGCCCAAAATGCTCTCTATGAGACCTTCCATTTCTGGAGAAGCAAACTGAGGGCGGGTGGCCTTTCCATCTTCCTCTTCTTTGCCCTTTAGAGTGAAAAGAAAACTGCAGAGGTCACTATGTCTCTGATCACCACACACCCAGTTGGGTGGTTGCAGACACATTAGGCACATTAGTCTTGGTGGGTGGTTAGCACCAGTGGCCCTATACAGTCTCCTTTGCACCTTTTAATCTGTCCTGTACCACCAGCAGGGTCCCTGGTTGGGAGTGAAGGGGCTCCCTACCCTCCCAAGATGGAAGACTGGTCCAATGTGAATCGTACTACCTTCCCACAAGCCCAAGCAGTAAATGGACTTGAGAAACCTGCCTTGGAGACAGACATTAAATATCCTCAGGTAACTGAGTAGTTGGGGGTGTATCCTTAATTAAAAGTAGAATGGATACAAAAGAACAGGGAGAGAAAATCTGTGAAGCCAATAGAGCACTTTCTCCCCTGTTCTTTATCTAGGGCACTGGTTTGACTGGCTTTGTGGAGGCAGCAAGACATAGATTGATTACTTTTACTAAAAATACATTAAAAAGTAACATTTGAAAAGGTAGGAATTAAAAACAAATTCCTAGTTCTCAACTCTAATCTTATTACAATTAAGATGAATTTTAAATTGTTATATCTAGATCATACATAACAAATAGAGTGGATTAAAACAAATACATGAGAAGATGCAAGAGATCTTATCAGTAATATTAAAGCATTAAAGGTCTGGTCTCCCACAGAAATAATCCAAGAAAAAGAAACGAAAATCCTCTACTCCAAGAGTTTCACATGTTGGGGATGCCAGGGAAGAAGACTTTGGGGTGCCCTTGGCTAACTCTCTGTCCCCTCTGCTCCTAGTCGGCCTCCAGCCTCTCAGCCTTGGGCAGCTTTCTTCCAGCCTGCACCTACCCAGCCTCCAGCCAGCACAGTGTGTACAGTGCTCCAGGTAGTGGCTACCTCTCCACCGGTCCACCATGGCCACCTGCTCAGGGTCCCCCATTGGTTTCCCCTGGGGCCAGCATGGCAGTGCATGGTGGGGAGCTTGCCTCAGAAATGGCTTTCAAGCATTCCAACCAAGGTGAGGGGGAGGGGGAGGGTCGGGAAAGGTGAATGGATGCTGGTGGACTAAGAGGGGTGCAAGGAGGTAGAGATGAGCCTGAAGGAGGAAAAATAATAGAAAAAAGGAAGAGAAGATGGTAAAGACAGAGAAGCTGCCTGTACCAATGGGGTGGTATATCTTCCCAGTTAAAAGCTGTGCCTGTTGCTTCTTTGAGCAGGTTTATTTCAAGAAAGGTGCACTGAGGTTGAGAGAGGCCCTAGATCTGCCTTATGTCTCTTGAATGCACAGAGAGAGGTGAAAGAGGGTCAGGCTGGCAAATGGGAATGGGTTTGTGCTTTTGATCATATCTGGTCTTCTCTGGTTATTGTTCCTCTCTGGTCTCCATTTCTCTTGCCCTGAGCAGAGGAATCTAAAAAGCATTTTTCAGCTCCATCTTCCTGTAGTCCTTGGAGTTTTACCTTCTGGATTTCAGGCTTCCCATAGAGCCTGACTCCATTTAAACTTTCACATCTGGATCTGTCCAGGACACCACTCATCTGTTTCTTCGAGATTCTTTTAAAGAATTTTTTTTTAAAAAACAAAATGCATTTCCATTGGGGAAGTAGAGAACATTTCACTCCTATCTCTAAGTACAGGAAGCTTTTGTTATCTATTAGTAACAGAGTTGCACTGCCAACTCAAAGGCAGGCAGCTGTCATCCACCAGCTACTCCTCCAGAGAAAGATGGACAGTCTCCTCTGGGTGATTTACTGCCTCTGAAAACCCACTGGAGAGTTAACTTATGAGTTGATTCCAACTTTTTAGCAATGAGTCATTGTTTGTTGTTGTTGTTACCCCAAACTACTGGATCTTCTGAATTCTATGTGGTTTCAGATTCTTTATTCTTTCTGTCCATGGGAAATGTGGCCAGGAATTCTGGCTCTTTGCCTCTTTCTTTTTCACCATCTTCTTTTAAATCCTCTCCTTTACAAACATGCTCCTTGATATCCAGACTAAAATATTTGAGCTATTTCACTGACAGCCTTCATTACTGAAGGCTTCATTATTTCATTACATATTCATATGTGTAGGAACCTTTGGTTCCTAGTTTTGTTTTTTTAACTTGAGAAAAGCCTATTTTTATGTGTCTGTCCTTATTTTTGTCATTGGGAAAGGAGATAGCTGGATTTCCTGATCTCCAATCTGTCTACATTTAGAATCCAATGGGCCAGCAATTTGGAAAACAAGGGCATCCCCCTAGGCGGCCCAGGTCTGTGGAGAGGCAAAGAGGACACAAATTTAAGGATAATATAGACATATAGGTGCTTACATATTATGTAAAGGATTTTTTTTTCCTTTCAGGGCAAGGGGTCTTCCTCTGTGGTAAAGCTCAAGATGGGGAAGCACTGGTGAGGAGGGAGAGCTATCTGAAACTAATGATAGTCAACTGGAGGAGCAATACTATCTTTTCTCTCTACCTTCTCTCAACTGAACTTATCGCTGTGGAGTCAGAATCAACTCATAGCTGACTTTTTTTTGTTCCCAAAAATGCAAAGTACAAGGAAGAGACTCTCCAACTTTCTCCCTCAGAGCTACTGGTGACTTAAAACTGTGAGAGAAGTGAAGACTTTGAGTTAGCCGTGCAACTCCCTACAGACTGCCAAAAATACCGAGATATTAAGATAATGTTTAGTTGTGTCATGATAGGATAATTCAAGGAAAGAAATTTATAAAAAAATTAGGATGAAAACTCCTTTATGATTTAATTACAAATAGCAAACAGCTGCTCCATGGGAGAAGGATAGGCAATCTCCTCTTGCATGATTAACTGCCTCTGAAAACCCGCCAGAGGGTTAGTTATGGGTCAGTTCCAACTTTGTTGTACACAACACACACAATAATAAAATAATATTACCTGTACAAATTATAGGAAAATCTAAAGACAGGAAACTTAGAAACTGAGAATTAGAGCACTTTTACATTTTAAATTTAAGGACAGATTGGATCTCTCAGTGAATTCTTAGACCCTGGTGGTGTCTTGTGTAAATGAAAAGTCTGTGGCTTTTAATCTACCATCCATTCTGTAGGGAAAGATGAGTCTTCTTGTCCCATCAAGACTAATCACCTTGGAAACTGATGGAAGGCCAAAGGGAATGCAGATGGCTCCATGCAGTGAGTTTTGTGTTCTTAACTTTTTTACCTTTGGTCTCTAATCTTCTCAACAATGTAGATTATCAGGTGAATTAGAAAGTGAAATTAAGTTTACTCTATTACATTCTGCAAATTGGTTAACCAAGCAGGTTTCTTTGAATTAGAAAAGTGTGTACACAAATTATTTACTCTAGTCTGATTCAAAGGAAAAGAAACAACCAGCACATGACCATCTCTCTTCAATGGCCATTTTCTAACCCAGACACTTTGTCCTGGATATCCTAGTCTTGGCATTAGAAATAAACTATGAAATATAGATAACAGTCCAAAGATAAACCATACAGTTCTGAATTCTAAACTAGCTCTAGTTAGTTTCAGGGGAGTTTCCAACATTTACACAGGTGGCTTTTGCTTGTAAGATTTGCTTCTTTCAGAAATATGGAGCTTTGTAATGACACTAGTTCTGTCTCTTACCACTTATAGCATGAACTATCTTACTCCACTTTCAAAATCTGCAACAATAATTAGTAATGTGGTATAGTGGTAAGGAGTTTGCTGTCAAATCCAAAAGTTTGAATCCACTAGCTACTTTGCAGGAGAAAAATGGACAATCTCCCTGGCGATTTATAGCCTCTGAAAACTCACTGGAGGTTTAGTAGGTTCTGACTCCAACAACAACTAGAAGTTATTAAACAGAAAATTTCCTTATCCTCATGGTGCAGGCAGATGGAACATTGTCATTAAATGTCTGTCATTAAAAAGTGATTTCTCAAGCTGACATACAAGTGTATCTCTTTGAGAAAATTAGGAAAATTGTGCACAATTGTCCCTTTTTCCAGGGTGAGACTTACATACTTACTAGGATTATAGATTTCTTGTTTCTTTCTCATTACCAGGAAACCACCCCTCACTTCAAAAATGCTTTCCTGGTACTCCAGTCAGTTTTGAAAAGATAGAGAATAATTACTTGAATTATCTGACTTCTACATTTTACTTATTACTTGAAAAGCCAATATCTTCAAAGATACTTGTCTCATGATACAATTAACTATAGTTAGTTTTCAGTTCCTAGGAATAAATAGTAGGTATAATATTTACAAAGAAGCGTTGCAGTTTATTGTGTAAAAAGAAAATATAATTGATCGATTAGTAGAGATAAGTGGGTGGACAGAGAATGAGAACAAGTGACAGTCCTGTTGGTAGAGTGATTAAGAGCTAACTCAAAAATGTCCAGCTTACAGTTATCAGTGGCTCAGAGGAAGAAAAGATCTACTCTTGTAAAAGCTACAGGATACTATTTTACTTTGTCCTGTTAGACCACAATGAGTCAGAATTGACTCAAGGGTACACAAAGTCAATGTGATATCTATGTTGTTGTTATTAGCTGCCATTGAGCCAAATATGACTCATGGTGACCCTATGAACAAAAGATACGAACCCTGCTCTATCCTGTGCCTTCCTCACGCTTCCTGACACACAAGCGCCCATTGCAGTAGTCACCATGTCAATCCACTTGGTTGAGGATCTTCCTGGATCCTCCACCCTTCCCAGGTCCTTCTCAAAGAAATAGACACTCCTAGCAATGTGCCCAAAGTATGTGAAGTGAAGCTTCATCATTTTTGCCTCCAAAGAGCACTCTGGCTGCACCCTCTCCAAGATATAACTGTTTGTTCTCTTGGCCATCCATCGCTCTATCAAATCTATCTCCCTGTAAAAGAGAAGCTCAACAATTACCCTGAAATCTGATCAAACAGTGAATTATGCGTTGTAGTTTGGTGGTGTGGAGTTGACTGTGCTGAACTCTGCCTTATCCTGTGCCATCCTCACAATTGCTGCAATTTATTAATTTTATCTTGGTAAACGAAGTGAATTTAAGTTTCATTTTATGAAGCCAAGAAAAAACGTAATATTTATTTCTCATCCTACGAAAGGAAATATTAATTCTTGGGAACTGAGAGGAAGCATATAGGAAAGGTCTCTTTGTTCTACATGTTGAGGGACTTGCAGCCAAGAAATCTTAATTCTTGTGAAAATGTCCTTTCATATCCAGGCCACAACTATTCCTTCCTGCCCCCAAGTTATAGACTCAACTGATATTTACAGTGTTTTCAGAAACCATTAAATCCCTCTGGTTCCAAAATCCTTCTTAATCAGGCACTGGAAACATTAAAGGTTCAGAAATGGAATCTGTAAGTTAGGTCCTATACACAAAGAAAATACGTTGTTTTATTAAAGAAAATCCTTGTTCCAATTATCTTTGTTCCCAAATGAGTTCTTAGAGAGAGTTCTGGCCACTCCTGGATGCCAAGTCCAGCCTCACATGACCCAAACTTTTCCCCAGTATATTGCTTTCACTCATTCCTTTGAGGGTCCCAGTGTGCTCTGCAAAAGCTGACAAATTATGTCTCAAATTTTAAAATTTCCTGTCCTCATTCTTGTTTTGAGCTTTAATAAGCCTGCAGAACAGAGAGAAAGACATAGTTGCCCTGAGTCACAGGGATGACAAAGGAGAGAAAAGGCGCTATGGGTAGGCACTAAGACCAATAGCAGGCAGGTTAATTCCTTCTTGCACCATGGGGTGGAATAAAGCAATTTTTCATGTTCATTTGCTCTCGTTTCAGAGCTACCAAAGTGCCTAGAAAATGCCTCTTTCTCAGAGTTTTTGAAAACAATCCTTAGTTTTCTTGATGTGTCTGTGCAGGATGGAGGGAAAGACAAAAAAAAAGTGAAAAGTTTTTCTTGTTGACCTAGTACAATGGTGTTGATGCAAGAGTGCTGGGAACAGGACTAAGCAGTGGGGTCTGTCTTCCCTTCTTCAGAAAGAAGGAATGAGAGGCAATAGAGAGAAGGTCACACAGAGGTGACAGATATTGTCTCCAAAGAGCTCTAGCAAGTTGGAATGCTTGGAGCTGGGGCACAGTGAAACTGCAGAAAAATAATCCAGAGTACTCTTCAAACCCAAATTACAGTGTCCCCGAGCTTCCCTTTTAAACTACTTGGTGGGAGGAGGGCAAGAAAACGGAAAACAGGCCTCTAGGATGGTCAATCTCCTCCCGCGAGATTAACCGCCTCTGAAAACCCGCGGGAGGGTCAGCTATATCCTTTTGATGGTATAGGAAAACAAGGTATAAAGAAGCTTGTGTTCTTATGAAAAAGCAGCGCAAGCCCAGGGAAATCAGGCTGCACAATAGTCTCTTAGAACTCCCAGCAATAAAATTTGGGACCTGGTAAAAAGCTGTGCTGCAATCACAAAGTATGAATGGGCAATTTCCTCTCTTGTCATTTACTGCCTCTGAAACCACACTATAACGAGTAATGCCCTGGGTTGGGCGAATTCACTGTTAGCATTTATGCTGATAGCAGTGAGAGAATCTGGAACCTGGAAAGTGTTGGGGTAGCCAAATAACATCGGATTTTCTGTCCATGGCACCCCTCGCCCTGTCAGAGCCAGCGCCTCCAGTGGGTCGCAGGTGGGAATCGCCCTGGTGCAGGACTAGATTGGAGGCAACTCTCCACTGAGTTCCCACCTCCGCAAATCCCATCCGGAGGTAATCCTTGAGGGCACCTTGGTTTCGCCTCCTTTATTCTATGGGAGGCTGCAGTAGAACTGAGGCCTGGGAAAGGGTAAAGGGAGCTTATACATTGTGGCTTGAGAATGCTGGTCCAGAGCCAGGGCTTGCTTCTAGGGAAGGAAGGGCGGGCGCGCAGGGCGGGCGGGCGCGCAGACCTCTCAGAAAGAACGACCACTTACGTTCTTTGCGATTCCTCCTCCCTGGAGGCCTCACCAAACTTATGCACACAGACACTCGTCGTCTGCCAGGTTGGCAGGTGTCCTGGGACAGCGACTGCTACGTAACCCAAACAGTGACTTGACACAGTTCTCTTCCTTCTCAGTGATCGAACAGAAGCTTTCCAGTCCTGGCGCCAAAGCGTCCGACGCCCTCGGGAGCTTACATGGACTATCCAATCCCGCCTCCACCTCCTAGACTCAATGCCCCCAGACCTGAGACGCCCTGGAAGGAGGTGGGTCGACGGGAGCATCGGCCATAGCAGCGGCAGCAGGACCCAGAAGACTAGACGGGATGTTGATGCTAGTCCCACTCGGCACACTGACTGGCCATGCTTCCTACCTGCTCCACTTTTTAGTTTTCTGAACTCTGAATTCTGTACCCACCTCAAGATCCTTGCTCAGACCTGTACCTCATGTCTGACAGCATCAAATTTTGCTCTTGTGGTCCGTGTTTCCCCTCATTTCTCCCTCCCCCCTCCATCACTCCTCGCCTCCTTTTCTCTCTTTGTTTTCCCTTTCCCCTCTCCTAACTCCCTTTCCTTTTCCTCATTTATTCTGTTTCCTTGTTTCTTGGGCCTCTTTTCTCTTGGCTATCTGAACAACTTGTCTGCTCTTCTTGCTTTTGCACCTTTACAGTCGAAGACTCCCTGTCATTTCCACCAGAGACCTCCCTACCTTCCCAGTCTACCAATCCCTCTTAGGTAGCTAGGATTCAGCAATCTCTTCAGATTCCTTGTCAGGTCTTCCCTCAGCCCAGTGGTCCTCCAACGAAGGTGCTGGATAGAGATGCCCACTGCCTTCTATTTTCTGTTTTCATGCTAAAGAACCCAATGAAAACCTCAAGCAACTGCCAACTTTGTGATACTTGCCCACATCCCACCCAGAATATTGCTTGGAAATCTGCTTTCATTAGCCAGTGGCTGGGCAACTGTTTACTTACTCTGAAATCAGTTATAAGAAGAATAGGGCTGGGGTAGAAACCCTAGGGGAGGATAGTCTTCTCAGTAGTCAGTGTGTCCTGGAAGTGTCCCCTTCTCAATACAAGACTTCTGACAAGCGAATGCACCATCGGGGGGGTGGGGGGTGGGGGGGGTCACAGTATGAATTAATTTAGGATACACTGCTTAAGCCTGACTATACAAAGGTGTAGTCAGGCTTCTGGTTTACAATGGGGCAGGGAAAACCCCAGGCTTGCTTACAGCTATACACAAGAGCTTTTAACTGCTTCCAAGATTGGGAACATGGTGGTACAACTCTGGACATAAAACGACATTTTCAAGTCTTAAAAATGTCACAGATTGCTCTCATTTCCAGACATGAAATAAAGGAGGACAGCGGACACTTGGGTGTTTTGAGTGTGTGTAGTTATGCCTCGTTATGCCTCTCTGCTCTCTTCCGAATATTCAAGATGCACATTAGTAAAAGGAAAGCTTTAGATTGGTTTATTCATTAGCACTCACACTTGGGTAAGAGGTGGGAGAAAAAGTGAAATGGGGGGCATTAAGACCACCAAATCAGGGTCTAATTCTGTTTTTCCTCCCTGTGCTTACTTTTCCTCTACTCATTAATTTAAAAATTGATGGGAAGAATTTTTAAAATGACAATGTTTGCATTTAATAGCATTGAAGAGACTTTGTATGCATCTTCTCTAGCTAAATAGAAGGGGGAAATAGGGAAATTATTTTCAGTGACACTTGTTGCAATAGTTCTTGGTTAAGTAAGGTATTAGTCATATGATGATATTTGCTTGTTTTTCAACATGGAAAGTTTTTCCTCTCAGGTTTTCAAAGTATTTCAGCTCTTAAGAAGTCTCATTTTCCAGATAGGAATATTAGAAAATAAATATTTACTTTCTTTTCTCTAGATCATATAGAAGCCCCACTTGCTGAGTTAAAGGACCTGGGCATTCAAACTGAGTTAGTTCTTTGGTCTCATGAGGTAGCAAGGATTGCTGTTTTCCAACTTTGAGAACTGTGGATCCTTACCTCACCAGCCAGCCCATCCTGTAGAGAAGCTGATTGCAGTGATGACAAAAATAAAGTATGATGAAGTAAAGCTCCCAGGCCTTCAGTTTGTTAACCTATGTTCCTATGCTTAGATGAGCTTTATCCACCAATTTTAAATGGACAGGATTTCATAATTTCTGCATGAAGGAAAGCATTTCACCCCTTTCCAAAGAAATGAGGATTTATATAATCAACTTCTCTGAGTTATTTCTATGCCCATTTTCCTGCAACTGCCCAATTCTTTTATAATTGTGCTAACCAGGTTTGAAGGGAGATGAGTTGAGAATATAACTGAAGAAAGCTGGTAGGGGCTCAAACGTTAAATGCCACTACAAAGCACAAGTCTTTTCAAACTTGTTCCATACTATTCCTTCTTCATTTCTTCTTCTGAAATTTCTTCCCCCTTTCCAAACCTGGCTAGAAGTAGAACACTCAGAGATACAAGTCTCTGAAGTGAGTACTCACAGAAGTTGGGCAGAATTTGCCATTACATGGACAGCAACACAAGGATCTACCTTCTTCTTTATGGCTGTGGGCCATAGGACTTCAG